GGTGGGGCTGCTCATTCACCGTTCACCGGCGCTACCTTGTCCTCCGTCGGCACCGTGAAGCTCCCCTCATATTTCAGCGACTTCAAGCGGATTTGATCCGGTTCCTCATTCACATCCGCCATGATCCGGAGCAGCTTCTCTCCCAGCGAGCCGGTGGCCGAGTATCCACTCCCCCGCCGTTAACCCGCGGCTTGATGGCCGACCATAACCGCCCGGAGTGAAGTTGCAGCAAACTGCGCCCCCTTCTGTATATCCAGAGAGAGGCCAACACTCACCCTCAGAGCTGTAGCTCAATGCTGCTCAGAATTTATTCTGTGTTGATCTTTGGGGTTGTCACTATTAAAAATACACCTATGGTGCCGAATATGTTATATGTTTTCACTTAGCTATTCCGATTCTTTAATTCTCTTTTCCCATCATTTACTGCAGAATTTCATTCTTTTTCCTCAACGCAGACTAGATGAAAAGTTTGCCTTGTGGATCCAGCATTGCAGTCAAGGTTGTTGTAAACATGAAGTATTGCACCTGCCCCCACCCTTCACTTTCCATGCTCTATCAACGTCAAACTATACCCAAATTGAGATGAGGATCATTGTGTGTGTCTGCATCGAGGTCTGCAAAGACTGGGTCATCAGTGTGCAAGCACTTAATTCACTGAGCTTCTATCTGCCCCCATTATGTAAAGAATAGGTTTGATCATGTTGACACAGAACATTTCATTTAGTTAGATCATGCTCTGTTATTGTGGTACTAATCTTGGAATAGTTTGAGTGCTGTACCATGCTTAAGAGAAGTTTCCAGAGTCTAAGATCTTTATAACTGTGATTTTTATTCAGCATGACTATTACTCTATAATTATTTGTACTCTTGGACCTCAAACCATGGCCAACAACAGTACTTCTCTTCAGACTCCCTCCATCATGTGATCTTCTCCATAATTACTGTTATAACTTACTGTTTACATATTTGAGTATTAACCCTTTAGTTTACACATGCCACACACATGTCCCTCCTAGAAAGATTTGTGCAGAAAATCTGAACACAAGACCATCAGGTAAAAATATCATGTAATGTCTTTGAAGCCCTTAGAAGGATATGGTGGATCCTTCACATGCTTCCCTGAGTGAACTGTAGGTCATTAGCAGAACATCTCACCAACAGAACTTTCAAACAAGCATCAAGACATTGCTTACATGACGACATGAAGGGTTCTCCCAGTCAAATCCTTCACGCACACTAACTACAGCAAATGATAGGAGCAGAGCAATTGAGCTTTCTTATGTCATGTCTACAGTTCTTAACTAAAATATCTGAACATCTAAGAAGTCTGAGCAAGGGGTCCAGATTGAAACAGAACACCAGAAACTGGATAAAAGGGTTTGCTGTGCAGAGGGAAGACTACTGGCCAAATCAGTGGGCAAAGTGAAGAAGGTGATCGTGGAACATGTTAGCACTCTAGTGAGGGAGTAAAGGGATGAGGCCTCTTCTAAGGCTATGTTGCTCAGGTCAGAGAGGGGAAGGTTGGAAGGTAATTCACTTCAACCTGTCTCACTTTGAATTTGGTTCATTCTTTTCTCTTAGATAATGACCACAACATTGTCATTAAACCTGCAGACAAAGGTAGTATTATTGTCTGGTGAATCAATCTCTAACCAGTGCAGGTCAAAAGCCAACTCTCAGATACTTTCTTCTGCCTCGCTCTGGATCATGATTCCATTAATAAACCTCAGGCCATTGTTTTCAGGACGATCACTGGTCTCATCTCGAGAGATTTTCCTCCATGGCATTGGAGTTCATCATGCCCAAAGAATCAATAAACTTCTTCTAGCTCCTTCCCAATATTCACAAACATGACTGCTTTAATAGACCTACTGTTTCAGCTGTCCCTGCATCAATGATTTCAATTAATTTCCACTTTTTTACCCTCTTGAGTTGTCTGTTCCCACCTACATCTATGACTCATCCAATGTCCTCTTTTTGTCTAATTCTTTCCAATTTCCTGGCCCTCGTCACCACAGATGTCCCGTTTCTGTACAACTCCATCCCCTAAGGGATACTGAGAGCTCTCCATGGCATTCTTGAATGAAGACTCAACCAGTTCCATCCACCAACACCCTCTTTTGCCTGACTGAAGTTGTTCTCACATTGAGAGATCTGTCTTTTAAATGCATTAACTTCCTTCAAGTAAAAGATGATGCAACAACTATCTGAATGAGTCCTTTTTTTGAGGAACATGTGTAAAATGTCTTGTTCCAGTCCTAAACAGGTCCCCTCCCTTAGCTCTTTTTCCAGCACAAGTGATTGGTGCTATTAACCGACATTGCTTCCAACTTCCATTCCTTTCTTACCTTCACAAGGTCGATTCACGATCCTATCTTCCCTTCTTTGACTTCTCTTCCATTTCTGGAGACTGAATATCATCAAACATTCACTATAAGCCCACCGACTCCCTCAGCTGCCTCAACTACACTTACTCATAGATAGTAGGAACTGCAGATGCTGGAGAATCTGAGATAACAAGGTGTAGAGCTGGATGAACACAGCAGGCCAAGCAGCATCAGAGGAGCAGGGAAGCTGACGTTTCGGGCCTAGACCCTTCTTCAGAACTGCAACTCTCTCGTATCTCTCTCCCACTGCAACTCTCTTGTACCATTTCTGAAGAAGGGTCTAGGCCCGAAACATCAGCTTTCCTGCTTCTCTGATGCTGCTTGGCCTGCTGTGTTCATCCAGCTCTACACCTTGTTATCTCTACATTACTCATACCCTGCTTCCAAAGATTCCATTCCTTTCATTAATTTCTCTGCCTCAGCTACAGTTGTTCTGAAGATTCAAATTTCCATATCAGCACCTTTGACATGCCTTCCTGAAATGTCAATTGTTAATGCAACCTGTAATATTAAATGTAGTGAAGCAGTGTCACATAACATATCTGAAAATCTGAACTGTTCGCACTTTATGTATCAAATTAGAACACTCTGTTACAGGAATAGAATGTTACACATAGAACATATAACAGTACTGCATAGGAACAGGTCCTTTGGCCCATATCTGTCCTGACCATGAATCTATTCTAAAATAATCCCTACTGCCTGCACATGGTGAATATCCCTCTATTCTCTGACTGTTCATGTATCCATCTAAATACCTCTTAAACCTTTCTAATGTACCTGCTTCTACCACCTCCCCCAGCAGTGTGTCCCAGACACCTATAACGTCTGCGGCAAAACTTGCCTTGCACAGCTCCATTAAACTTTCTCCCACTCACCTTAAACCTATAGCCCCCAGTTTTTGACATTTCCACCCTGAGAAAGAGACTCCAACTATCCAGCTATCTATGCCTTTCATAATTTTATATATTTCTATCAGGTCACCTTTCAGCCTCCATCACTCTGTAGCGAAAACAATCCAAGTTTGTCCAACTTCTCCTTATAGCTTATACACTCCGATCCAGGCAACATTCTGGTAAACCTCTTTTGCACCCTCTCCAAAGCCTCCACATCCTTCTTATAGTGTGGTGACCAGAACTGTGGACAGTTGTGGCCTAACATCTTATATACAGCTGCAACATGACTTCCCAACTTTTATACTCAATGCCCCAATTTATGAAGGCAACAGTTCGAATGCCTTCTTTATCACCTTTTATAAAGTACTTTCTTTAAAAAAATAGGATTATGTGAGGTGATCCATTGTGTTGTGCAAAAGAAGTTTGGAGAAACTTTGATTATTTGAGAGGTAAACAGTGACACTGGGACACAAGCCAAAAAATATTTTTCCAAGAATTGATACTTAAGCTAAATGAGTAAATTTCAGTGAGATACTGACCTGGTCTGTTAAAGAACAGAGTTTGTAGAACAGAAACTGCTTTATTACTCATGGTCATTAGAGCCAACATAAAATTGAATTAAATAATATTTGTAAAATAAAGTCAGGCTTTGGGGATACAATATATAATTCCAGCTCAAGAAACAGCAAGAATGCATTTTATTGTTTTAATATTTACGTTAACAAATAAGTATTTTAAATACAAATAGTAGAAGAAATTTAACAAATGCCATGTTTCTTATTGATTTCTGGAGATTATTTGCATATAAAATGCGTACATTCCAAAAGAGCTTTGAAATGTACCTATGATATGAAAGTCACTGGCAGAACTACTTCTGGATGTAAAGAAAATTCTTGTAGTCAGGCAGCATCTATAAAGAAAATAAAATATTAATGTTTCATTGTAATCTGATATTGCAAACAAACAGTTTAAGGAAGTAAAGTCACCACGGTCTTGCCAGACCATAGAGTTGCTCTTTCATTCAAGAGAGAGGCGAGAGAGAATAGGTGCTAGTTTGACCTGAAGGTCACCACACCTTAGATGAGGGGGTAGGTTGTGGAGGAGAATCCCTTACAGTAATCTCAGCTCGTGCAGGAATTGAATTGTTGGTGTTGCTCTGCATTATAAACCAGCCATCCAGCTAACCGATCATTAAACATAAAAAGCAACTGTTAACTAATTTTTCTGAAGAAGGGTCTAGACCCGAAACGTCAGCTTTCCTGCTCCTCTGATGCTGCTTGGCCTGCTGTGTTCATCCAGCTCTACACCTTGTTATGTCTGTTAACTAACTGAATGTTTATACAGGGTTATAGTCAACTGGTTTCATGCACGTATTTTGTGGCCATAAATAAATATTTTAAGGTGGACTACCATTTTGGAGCAAAATAAGAACTGGAAGAACTGCAGATGCTGTGAATCAGAGACAAAAATAGAAATTGCTGGTATGGCTCAGGTCTGGCAGCATCTGTGGAGAGAATCAGAGTCAATGTTTCAGGTCGAGTGCTCCTGTTTGAGGAAAGGTCACTCGACCCGAAACATTAACTCTGATTGTCTACACAGATGCTGCCAGACCTGCTCAGTTTTTCCAGCAATTTCTATTTTTGTCTACCATTTGCAGCACTTTTCTAGCACTGTATATTTCTAAAACTCAGCTAATCACTCACCTCCTGAGAGAGCAGTAGGCTCTTTAAGTATGCATGTTACAGTTAGTGAATTAGAATGGCTACAGATTTTTTTTGAATTATATGAATTACATCCAACTCTGACTTTTTATGCAAACTGTTTTGTTAATTGCAAAACATCTAGATTAAAATGAGCCTCAATTAAGTTTTAGCAAAAACTTTCCATGGCCAAAGTAGGTGTGTCCTGGTGTAAAGGGCTCCATTAGACACAAGCTTTGGTCAGGACACCAGGGGATAAGGTCAGTCTCT